CATCAGGAGAACATAGTCTAGAGGAATTCAGGTAGAGGTCTGTTCAAGACCACATAATCAAGGACTCCTTCCTTTTCTTCACTGAGTTATTCACTTATTTATTTGAAAACACTTACTGAATAACTGTTATGTTCCAGGCACTTGACATGCAAGCTCAACAAGATAGAAAAGGTCCTGAGCTCATGGATTTATATGTATATATTTATATTTAACTTTTATTTTTCTATTGTACTTTAGATGCACATTTACAGAGCAAACAAGTTTCTCATTAAACAATTAATATACGTATTGTTATATGACACTGTTTGCCAACCCCACAACACGTCAACACTCTCTCCTCTCAACCTTGGGTTCCCCATTACCAGTGCTCATGGATATTTTTAATCTAGAATATCAACTCTACTAACTTGGGGATCATGAGTTTTGTTTTGTTTTCTTTTGTTTTGTTATTTTACACACCATTATATCCCCCATGTCTAGCAATCCATAACCAACAAATAAATACTTGATGAATGAATACATAAATGAATAAGAGAATAAATAAGTAAATTAATTAAATGAAAGACATAATTGCCAAAGCACTTATGATATAAAGAACAAGATGCTCTAAGAGCAGGTCCATAGAAAACTAAAATTACACTAGGAGGTTAGGGAAGGTTCTCAGAAAAATAAAATTATGTCCAGGATGGGATCAGTGTGGTGAAAGGGAATGTTGTGTTAGTTGTTGTTAAGTGCACTCAAGTCAGTTCCAACTCACAGTCACCCTATGTACAGCAGAACGAAACACTGCCTGGTTCTGCACCATCAACACAATTGTTGCCATGTTTAAGCCCATCATTGCAGTCACTGTGTCAATCTGTCTCGTTGAAGATCTTCCCCTCTTTCCCTGACCCTATACTTTCCCAAGCATGATGTCTTTCTCCAGGGACTGGTCCATCCTGATAACATGTCCAAAGTATGTGAGATGAAGTTTTGCCATCTTTGCTTCTAAGGAGCATTCTGGCTGTACTTCTTCCAGGACAGATTTATTCATTCTGCTGGCTCCATGTTGTATTCAATATTTTTCACCAACACCGTAATTCAAAGGCACCAATTCTTCTTTGATCTTCCTTATTCATTGTCCAGGGAATAGTGTGGTTAAAAGCCTGAAGACATAAAAAAAATGACTTGTCTCAGGAATTTAAAATTCAATGTGACTGGAGCTTAGATGGAGAAAAGTCAAGTTGGAGAATTAGGAAGGGGATAGGCCACATAGAGCTCTCTAGGTCATTGTATTAGTCTCCTATTGCTGCTGTGAAAAATGGCCACAAACTTAGTAGTTTAAAAAAAAAACCACAGTTTTATTATTTTACAGTTCTGCAGGTCAGAAGTCTGAAATGGGTCTCATTGAGCTGAAATCAAGGCGTTATCAGGGCTGTGTCCCTTTCTGGAGGTTCTAAAGGAGAATCCATTTCATTGCTATTCCTAGCTTCTAAAGGCTGCCTGCATTCCTTGGCTCATTGCGCTTTCCTTCATCTTCAAAGCTAGCAAGTGGGTAAAGTCCTTTTTGCTCTTTGAATTGCTTTTGCCTGTTTCTAAGTCTTTGCATCTCTCTAACCCACTCTGCTAAGTCTCTCTTCTGCTTTTAAGAGTTCATGTGATTAGAATGGACCTATCTGGATATTCCAGGATAATCTCTTCTCAATCACATCTGCAAAGTCCCTTTTGCCATGTAAGGTAACAATCCATAAGTTGCGGATGTCTTTGGGGGTGGCGTTATTCAGCCTACTACACCATGTTAGGAAATTTGGACCTTATCACAAGAGCAATGGGAGCTACTGAAAAGTTTTCAATAGGGAAAGAGTATAATTAAATTTGCATTTTTTTTAAAGATTCTTCTCGGTACCTTATAGAAACTGGATTAGAAAAATTATTGTAGTTATCAAGGAGTGAGGTAATATTAACATGGACCAGAGAAATGTCTGAAAGAGATGAAAAGGGATGGATGGATTTAAGAACTACACTCACTTCTGACTTATTGACATGGTTAGGTTCCAAAGACCAGGTCATTATGTGAAAATTGGTGTTATGCAAAAATGGAAGATGACTACATTGATCACAAAATATTTTGTGGGACACATATGGACCTGAGAGGCAGAAAATGTAGGTGGGCGCTGTACATCCCACTGGTCATGAAAGGGTTAATACCAGACGTATGTTGTTAATGGGGAAAATAGTCAAATAGTAGATTTCTTAGTATTGTCATAAATGCCAAATGTAGGATAACAAGAGAGTTGATAAGCGAGGGATAGATCTCTTTACAAAACTATTAACAACGTATTTCAGATCTCTGGCTAGAGCGACTGCATAAATGGAAGGGCCATTTACCATAACAGTGAACACAGAGGGAGGAGGAGCTTTGAGAGAGGAGAGAAAATATTAATTTGTTTCAGGATACATTGAGTTCAATGGGTCATGAAGATATCCAAGTGTAGATGCCCCATTGAGAGTTATGTCCAAGAGTTTAAAACTCTGGAGAGAGATCTGGACTGGAGATTTACCACTCATTAGCATATACATGAAAATGAAAGCTCTGTGAAAGGAAAAGTGTTGAGAGGAAAATAGATCCAAGGACAGGACTTGAGGATAAACATCATTTCAGGGACTATCAGAGGAGGAGGACCCTGCATAGGAGGCTAAGAAGAACTAGACAGAGAAGAAAAAAGAAATGAAAGAAGCCTAGTATCACTCAGTCCAAGGGAAATGAGAGCTTTTGTTTTTGTTTTTTTAATTTTTTTTATCGTACTTTAGATGAAGGTTTACAGAGCAAATAGTTTCTCGTTAAACAGTCAGTACACACACTGTTTTATGACATTAGTTAACAACCCCACAACACGTCAACACTCTCCCTTCTCAACCTTGGAGGACCTTTTTTTTGGTGAAAATATACAATCGCCAAAGTTAACACCATTTCAAAAGTTTCTACATGTACAAGTCAGTGACATCGATTAAATTCTTCCAGTTGTGCTGCTATTCTCACTATCCTTTTCCAAATTATTCTATCACCATTATCTTCAACTCACTGCCCCTGGGCTTCCCATCAAAACTTTTGAGTTGCTATTGTCAATTTGATCTCACATAAATAATTCTTTTGTGTGTGTGTGCCTTAGATGAAGGTTTGCAGAACAAATAGTTTCTCATTAAACAGTTAGTACACATATTGCCCTATGACAATGGTTAATGACCCCACAACATGTCAACATTGTCCCTTCTCAACCTTGGGTTCTCTATCACCACCTTTCCTGTCCCCTCCTGCCTTCTAGTCCTTGTCCCTGGGCTGCTGTGCCTCTTTAGTCCCAGGGAAATGAGAGTTTTAAAAACCACATCAACGACTCAGAGGTATCAAAAGTAGTAAGCAACGTGGTGGTCATCATCGGCTTTGGCAAGAGCAGTGTCCATGGGGCGGGAGGATTGAGACGTGATTAGGAGGTAAGGAACAGAAACTTGAGTCAAAAGGAGACAGAATTTAGACATGTAGGGTTGAAAAAGGAGTTGCAAAGGGTTTTTTTTTTTTAGGATGAGAGAGAAACAAAAATATGTTAATATCAGCTTTTTCAATAAGTATTGTGAAAGGAAGGACAAAAATGCGGGTAGTTGGAAGGAAATGTGGAGTTCAGGAAGGGTGTTGTGTGTTTATGTCTAATGTCAAAAACCTGAACACATAATATTACAAATGGAAAGGAACTTGTGGTGAGGGAGAGTCTGAAATAGAAGATGTTCAATTGATCAAGGTCCCAAAGAGGAGCTGGGGTCTAGAGCTTTAGTACAGGATTGGTCTTATCTAGCAATCCCTCCAGCTTGAGAAGCTTCACAATGAAAGAGAAAGGCACCAGTTCAGACAGACGGAAGTAGAAAGTTTACAGGATGTGTGTTTGATGACACTGTTCTTTTTCTCTGTCATGAGTAAGGAATTTACCCAAGGTGGCATTTCAACCAGAAAAGATCCAAATGATGAACCAGGAGAGAAAGAAAGTTCAAAGCCAGACAAGTGCTGCTGAGCATTGGGCCTGGGGAAGGAGGGGAGAGCATAAGTGCCAAATCTATGCTGTTAAAACTCAGAAAGATCAGGAATAAGCCCTTAAGTGGAGTATGAAGTGGTAATGGCATTCAATGTAGGACATATAAGAGACAAGGGTGGGGAAGCCTGATTTATGAGGTGCTTGCTAGGAATCCCTGGGTGGTACAAACAGTTAATGTGCTCAACTGGTAACTAGAAGGTTGGCAGTTTAAGCCCACCCAGAGGTACCTTGGAAGAAAGGCCTGGTGATTTACTTCTGAAAAATCAGCTACTATGAAAGACAGTTCTACTCTGGAACACATGGGGTCACCATGAGTTGGAATCGACTCAACAGCAACTGGTTTTTTGCTACAAGGCTTTGCCAGACTCTCTGGGGGATACAGGGAGCCCTGGTGGTGCAATGGTTAAATGCTGGGCTGCTAACCGAAAGGTTGGCAGTTCAAACCCACCAGCCACTCCACAGGAGAAAGATGTGGCAGTCTGCTTCAGTAAAGACTTACAGCCTTGGAAACCCCAATGGGACAGTTCTACTCTGACCTATAGGGCTGCTTTGAGTGGGAATCAACTCATTGGCAAGGGGTTTGGTTTGGGTTTGGTTTTCTGGGGATACCTAGAAAGTGAACAGTTTCTAGCCTCAGTGAGTTCATAATCCAGTCGGAAATGTAAGATTAATCAGTGTAAAACGCCTAGCAGGATGTCTTGCTTGTTTTCCTCATCACTGTTATTGTTTTGTTGAACGTTAAATAACAATAGTACAAGAATTAAACAAGTTGAGAATACAAAACAGCATGTGACCAAGTATCCAATGAGAGATGTAGTAAAAGGATAAGTATTACGATTTGGAAACGGAAAAGTAGTAAATAAATTAAACTGATCTGTAAAGGCTTCTTAGAAATAGGCACATGAAACGATCATTATAAGTTGATGCGTTCTATTCTGTTAGTTACTCCCAGCAGACAGTACAAGGGAGTGACACTCCCTCTCCCATAGACTGCAGAATGAGCTCCTGGAGTGGATGGTCGCAATGTGACCCTTGCCTCAAACAAATGGTAAGTGCTCGTCTCCATTGCCCCAGATCTCTGCAAGTGGAAACTGTACTGTTGCAGCATCTCCACAACAGAGAGATGAGTATGAGGCAGTGAGCCCTCCCAATTGAGCTCCAAATCCAGAAAAAGCAACATGCACGTGACTCACCTTGCCGGAAAATCTGAACGTTGCGTGGCGTGTGATATGAGTGTCAGGAGGAACGAGTTTCTGTATAAGATGACTGCAAAACATGCGATGTGAAGTGTTACTTTAAGCAACATTTACCATCGTTGTTGTTGTTAGTTGTCATTGCGTCATCTCTGACTCATGGTGACCCCATGCAAATGGTTTGCACCTGGCTCCTAACCAAAAGATTGGCAGTTCAAATCCACCCAACAGTGCAGGGTAAGAAAGGCCTGGCAATCTACTTCCATAAAATTGTTCTTGTTAGATACCATAGTGTCTCTTTTGACTCATAGGGTTTCTTGGCCGTAAACTCATAGAGTTCTTTGCAAGTCATCAGGTCTTTCTTCTGCAGAACCACTGGGTGGGTTCGAATTGCCAGCCTTTCAGTTAGCAGCCAAGTGCTTAACCACTGTGCCATGAGAACACCACTTTATAAGATTACAGCCACTGAAAACCCTATGGAGCACAGTTCTACTCTAACACATATGGCATCACCATGAGTAAGAATCCACTCAACAGCAACAGGGTAAGCAACATTGGTGACTGCTTTTCCCTCTGCCATCTTAAAACCATTGAAGTATTTGGGTTTGGGTGGTGTGGATGCAGTTTTAGATCATAATCATTTTTTGGTGTTAGAAACTCTAACCTTCCAGCTGCTTTTGTGCAGTTCCGCTCAAGGAATATTGAGGTCTTTGGACAATTCAATGGGAAGAAATGCCTTGACTCTGTGGGAGACCAAGGGCAGTGTTTACCCACTGAGCCCTGTGAAGAGGCTGAGGATGACTGTGGAAATGACTTTAAATGCGGCACAGGTAATCCTTGCAATCAACTTGTTCATTTTGGGTTTCTCTGGGCAGACATGAGTGAAAAGAAATAAATGTGCTTGTAGACACTCAGATTTTCAAGTGTGAAAGGGTCCCTTCCCCAAAAGGGCCATCTATGTATTCTGTCCAAAAAATTCAAACACATCTGTCTGGGCCCTTCAACTTTACTTCAGAAAGAGAAAAATAGAGAAAATTTGGCCTAGACACACAGTGCCTTTCTTGATTTTGATTACAGGCAGGTGCATAAAGCAGCAGCTCCTGTGTAATGGTGACAATGACTGCGGAGACTTTTCAGATGAAGATGTTTGCGAAGATGATCCCCGTCCCCCTTGCCGTAACAAAGTGGTGGAAGAGTCCGAGCTGGCACGAATGGCAGGCTATGGGTCTGTATTTCACTTGATTTTTTCCAGATGAAGATGAGTGAAAATGATCCCCAGCTCTCCTGCGGTGATAGCAGGGTACAAGAGTGTGAGCTGCTACAGGAAGTAGGCTATGGATCTGTATTCTGTTTGAATTACTTGTGAGCTTGAGAGAGAATAAGTGCTGAATAAGTATCTCCGGACAATTGAGACCAACTACCTGGCGTCAGTAGAGGTTTGTATAATAGACTATCAGGATATTAGGTGATACTTCTGAGTCCAGTGGGAGGTGAAATAATTTACTTGTGACTCTCTAGAAGACCATAGCAATGTTAAAATGGCATGTTAACATTTGGAATTGAATTACCAGTAGTGAGTCTGGTAATTCAACTCAAATACTTGAGTTGCCAGGAAGGCTGTCTTCCATTGGCACTTCCCCTGGATCTATGCATTATTATAAGGTCTCTTGAAGTTCCAGCATTCTGGAGTTGACTAAGAAGGAATGGGATCAGAAAAAGCAGTTCTGATGCCAGAGGGTGACGGTGTTGAGATCCTGGTTTTCATTGGAGGGTTGAAGTTTCACTCATTTTCCATACAAAGCATAGAGGCTGCGGCCAAGTGGCTGTAAGCTCAGGTGGTAAGTCTTGGATAGTTTAGAACTCAGGGTTATGCAGAATGGAGACTAGCATGCAGAGATCTGTGCTCTAGGAGTTGGGAAAACAACATAGACCTGAGATCAGGTAAATACACTAAATACATTGTTCTGTTTTGAACACTCAGAGAGCATCCCAGAGCCATCCGCTGAATAGTCTCCACTAGTTATACTGATGTTCTGAGCTGTTTTACATAAAGATACCTTGGGTAGATTAGTTGGCAAATTGTCTCCAACAGAGACACAGTTGTTCCCTCGTCCAGTGGCATATGGACAGAGGTGGCACAGGGCTGTATTTTATCACCTATAATGTAATGTGTCTCTTCATTCTCATGTTCCCAGTACATGGTTCATAAGAAAGGTTTGATAAATACTTGGTGGATGGACAAATAAATTAACTAATTAATGAGATTCTAAGGAGCCCTGGTGGTACAGTGGTTAAGTGCTCAGCTGCTAACCAGAAGGTCAGAGGTTCAAACCCACCAGCCACTCCTTGGGAGAAAAGACCTGGCAATCTGCTCCCATAAAGATTACAGCCTTGGCCTCCACCGGACTGAGT